AAGAATCATGAGAGCAGCATGCGAAAAACAAAAAGTTACCTACAAGGGGCAACCAGTAAGACTAAGCTCGGATTTCTCCACAGAAACCATGCAGGCAAGAAGACAATGGGATGGTATATATAAAACACTGAAAGAGAAAAATTTCCAACCAAGAATTATGTACCCAGCAAAATTGTCCCTCAAATATGATGGCGAAATCAGGACATATCCAGACAAGCAGAAATTAAGAGAATTTGTTAAAACCAGACCAACCTTACAAGAGATGATAAAGGGTGCCCTTTGGACAGCAAAGCAACAACAACCAACAACTGACCATTAATACACATGACAATATAACCCAGAAACCAACCCAGCTATGGAAGTATCCAAAGTAAATAAGCCTACAAGATTGTAAACAGGGAACCAGAGACACCAACCGACGAATGAGGACAACTACAAACCAAAAAGAGGGAAAATATGTGTTGTTACAGAACTTCTAGATGGTAGGGAAGTCAAGACAACTAGAAGATAGAAAGAAAACTATAAATCACTTGGAAAGAAAACTATAAATCACAGGGTAACCTCAAAGAAAAATGATAAACCTTCACATCAAAATAAGAGGACCAGCATAAATATTCAGCAAATATTAAAACAATAGCAATGAAGGAAGTGATAACATGATCATAAACAAAACCAGCTCAGCATAGAAAATTATATGGAACAAAGAAATCGACACAATGAAAAAGCACATGACAAAAATGACAGCGATAAATTAGTATTTGCTGATAATTACATATCCGGCAAGGGACTCTAAGATTGATGGAAAATACAATGCCTCAACACCAAAGGAATTAACAATCCTATTGAAAAACAGGCAGAAGACATGAACAGACACTTCACCAAGGATATTCAGGTGGTCAGCTAATACATGAAAAGATGCTCACAATCACTGGTCATCAGAGAGATGTAAATCAAAACAACAATGAGATATACCATCTCACCCCAGCACTGATGGCAAGGTTCAATGAGATAGAAAATAACAAATGCTGGTGGGGATGTGGAGAGATTGGGACTCTCATACACTGCTGGTGGGACTGTGAAGTGACACAACCACTGTGGAAAGCAATATGGCGATTCCCTAGAAAGTCGGAATTGGAGATACCATTTGACCCAGCCATCCCATTACTAGGTATTTATCCTAGAGAGGTGAGAGCCAGGATAGGAACAGATACATGCACGTTCATGTTCATCACAGCACTATTTACAATAGTGAAAAGATGGAAACAACCTATGTGCCCATCAGCAGAAAAGTGGATGACCAAACTACGGTACATACACATACTGGAATGCTATGCAGCACTAAAGAATAATGTAGACTCTGCAAAACACTATATAATATGGATGAACTTGGAGGACATTATGCTGAGTGAAATAAGTCAAACTCAGAAGGACAAATATAGTATTAGCTCATTGTTGTGGAGGGTTAAGGAAAGGTTTATATATGGAGGGAAACTTTCTTGGTTGGTTGTCAGGGGTGGGAGGAGAGGCGAGAGAACACTGCAAAAAAAAAAAAAAAAAAGCATTGACCCATGTCACTTTAGTTTTGTGTATTTCACTGTATATAAATTATATTTCAATAAAATGCATTAAAAAAAATTCCTTGAATGAAACCACAACATACCACAATCTTTAGGACATAATAAAAGCAGTGATCAGAAGCCAATTTATAGCAATAAATGTACCTATCAAAAAAGAAGAGAGCCAAAATTAATACCTTAACCCAACATCTCCAAAAATTAGATAAAGAGTAACAAAAAAAAGCCTACAGTCAGCAAAAGAAAATAAATAACAAAGATTCAAGCAGAAATAAATCAAAGGGAAACTAGATAGTAGAAAAAATCAACAAGACTAGAAACTGATTTTTTGAAAAGATTAATACAATTGACAAACCACTGGCAAATTTAACAAAGGAAAAGAGGGAGGGAATACAAATAACATGAATAAGAAATGAATTGGGACATCACAACCAAATCAACAGAAATTAAAAGGATAACATTAGGACACTATCAAGAACTATACTCCAACAAATCAAAAAATCTAGAAGAAATGGACAGATTTCTAGAAACATACTACTTACCTACACTAACAAAGAGTATGGCAGAAAATCTGAACAGACCCATTACAAAAGAAGAAAATAAAGAGGTCATAAAAATATTACCAACAAAAAAAAGCCTGGCCCAGATGATTTCACTGGAGAATTCTATCAAACGTTCAGAGGAGAACTGACACCAAACCGACTCAAAATATTCCAGAACAGGAAAGACTTCTCCCAAATTCATTTTACGAAGCAAGCATAACCTTGATATCAAAACCAGACAAAGACATCGCTAAAAAGGAAAACTACAGATCAATATCCCTCATGAATATAGATGCAAAAATCTTCAACAAAATCCTAGCCAAGAGATTCCCACAACATATCAAAAAAATAATACGTTATCACCAAGTGGGGGTCATGCCACCTAAGGATGGGTCAACATTAGAAAAACAATCAATGTCATCTATCACATAAATAAACCAAAGGAAAAGAACCACATGGTCATGTCAGTGGATGCATAAAAGGCATTTGATAAAATCTAACACCCATTCCTGACCAAAACTCTCAGTAAAAGAGAAGAGATATTCCTCAACATAATAAAGGACATATATGCAAAACCAACAGTCAACATTATTCTCAATGGAGAGAGACTGAAACCATTCCCCTTGTGAAGAGGAACCAGACAAGGATGCCCTCTATCACCACTTCTTTTCAACATTTTATTGGAAGTCCCAGACAGGACAATAAGGCAAGAAAGGGAAATCAAAGGCATCCAAATTGATAAAGAAGAAGTAAAACTATCCCTATTTGCTGATAATATGATCACATACATAGAAAACCCAAGAGATTCAGCAAAAAAAAAAAAAACTACTAGAACTAACTGAGAGATCTAGCATAGTGGTGGGATACAAGATCAACATTCAAAAATCTGTTGGATTCCACTACACTAGCAACGAGATTGCTGAAAAGGAAATAAGGGAATCAATAGATTTACAATGTTTATACTTAGGAATAAATCTCACTAGGGACACAAAAGATCTGTGTCCTAGCAGTGTTTTGTGTGTGTGTGTGTTTGTGTGTGTATGGCATTAAATAAATATTTGCTGAATAAACAACATAAAAAGAATCAACCCCTTAAATATTACCCAACTGAAACATCAAATAACATCTTTGTTGTTGTTGTTATGTGCTGTCAAGTCAGACCCAACTCGTACCGACCCCTCCTTGGGTTTTCAAGGCAGTATCACACGGAAGTAGATGCCCAACTTTTCTTCCGTGAAGTGGCTGGTGGGTTTGAACAGCCACCCTTCTGGTTAGCAGTCAAATGCCTTAGGCACTATGCTACCAGAGCTCCTAATAAAATCTTATATTTAAGAAATATGTCATTACTCATATTTGTAAATAACTAAAAGGAAACTACTGATACAGTGTCATTAACATAACACACAACAAGTACTTAGTGGTAAAACCTAGAGAGCACTTTAACAAAGAAATTGAGGACATACTTGTCCTTTTCGTTTTCTTCATGTTTGGTTAGACTGCAGAGCTGAAGTGTATCAAGCTGTTGTGTTACTTCTTCTGCCCAACGACAGTTTACTAATTCACGGAGTTGAAGTGGAGCACTGGAGGGGAAATACATACACATATGCAACTTAACAACATGAGATTATTTTCTAAAACAAACAAATTCTTCAAAATAGAGCTCACTATTATACTGGTACCACATTTCCATTACAGTGATTACAGAGACATGATGAAAAGAATTCTTTGTAATTTATTTTCACCACACTGAGATTATTTAGGGAGCTCTGGTGGCACAGTGCCTAAGGCATGTGACTTCCAACCAGAAGGCTGGCGGTTCAAACCCACCAGCTACTCCTCGGAAGGAAGATTGGGCAATCTACTTCTGAAGAGATACTACCTTGGAAACCCATGAAGGGCTCACAATGAGTCGAATCAACATTCTTTAAATCTTTAAAAACAAAACCTACCAATTCAAATTAGATTCAATTCTCAAATCCTTAGCCTAAAGCTGTATTGTTCAATATGGTAGCCACCAGACACATTGTCACTACTTAAATTCAAATTCAAATTGATTAATAATAAATAAAAGACAAATTAATTATTCAGCCACACTAGATACTTTCTAAGTGCTCAAGAGCCACATGTAGCTTGTGGCCACCATACTGTATACAGGCAGAAATAAAATATTTCCATCGTTGTACAAAGTTCTATTTGCAGTGATTTCAATTAGTTTTTAAATGGGTATTAAAAAAAAAGGATAAAATTTTTCACTTAGCAGACTAACTTAAAAATGAAACAGAATATCTAACATTAGCAAGGTGAGGAAAAGTGCTTTCATACCTTCTATGTGTTAAAATAGTAAAGATCTTTTCTTTAGGGAACCTGACATCACTCACTGAAATAACCAAACATGGCAACAATCTAAATGCCTGTCAATGTGGGTGTAAATAAATCATGGTACATTCAGGAAGTAGATTGTTATTCAAACTTTTTTTAATGATACATGTATAAATACCATCAAGAAAAGATATACAGCATATTTTACACAAAAAAAGGCAAGTTACAGAGTATTATTATATCATTAATGTGTTTTAAAAAAGAATAAATGTGTAAAGATACATATCAGTATTATACACAGCAAAATATCTAGAAGAATAGATAACAAACTTAATTTCTTTGGAAAGTAGTATATCATGATAAGGTAAAGAATATCAGAGTTAGAGGAGCTTATTTTTTTCTCTACTGTCTGGATTTCTTAAACAGAAACATTTTTCGTTATTATTATTATTTAATTATAAAAAGTAAGCTAACACGGGTATATGGGTGGATAGATGGGTGGACAGGCTGAACTATTAGGTATGTCTATGCAGAAGGGAGTGTACCCAAGACCACGTATAGGGTTGGCAGACAATGGTTCTACAAGTGTATTTGTATGTTCTATAAGAATTCCCAGGGGTATAGTAGAACTGACAAGGGACAAGGCTGTAGTCACTGCTTGGTCACAGCCAGCTACCCAGAGAGACCGAGTAGTTGAACCGGTGGCCTTGGGACCATAGTCACAGGGGACATCAAGTTCAATAGGCATAACATACTATACAAAACATTGTTCCACCTCCTACTTTGGTGAGTAGCAACTGAGATCTCAAAAGCTTGCAAGCAGCCATCTAGATGCAACAATGGGTCTCTCCTCATCCAGAGCAAAGAAAAATGAAGAAAACCAAAGATTCATGGAAAGAATTAGTCCTAGCCACTGGTACACCATGTGATCCTCAGCCGATACAATTATGAGACCAGAAGAACTAGATGGTGCCCGGCTACCACCGTCAACCACTCGGAGGGGGATCTATGGAGGAGATCCTGGATAAAGAGGGAGAACAATGTGGAACAAAACTCAAAATCATTTGGGGAAAAAAAATGTGGGGGACCAGGTTTGCTGGTCTGATAGAACCTGGTAGAACCACTGAGACTATGGTCCCTAGCAGCCCTTCAGGTCTGGAATTGAACCCACACCTGTGGCTTCCAGCCAAACAAAAGACAGGCATATGAGTTGAACATTTACCTGAGGTAGATACACTCCTTGGAGAGAACAATCTTAAGATAAAGAAGGTCTGTTTATGCACAGGTAGACAGCCCAGGGGGCAGGAGTGCATGGAGGGATGGACACAGGGAAGAGATAACTATCAGGAGGAAGTGGAAGGGGAGCTGTTGCATAGGGGGAAATTGTAGTCAATGTCATCACACAAAGTGTATGTGAACTGCTGTTTGGAAAGTGAATTTCCTCTGTAAACTTTCACCCAAATCACAATTTAAAAAAAAAAAGTAAGCTAAGAAGTTATACAATGGTATTCTAAAAAAAGGCAGGGGTACTACACATCAAACAATCAATGTAATGCACTGTATGTGATTTTAGGTCAGATAAATTACTCTGTATTTCTTTATCTACCAGATTGCTTTTTTTTTTTTGCCCCTCAACGTGTTTATGAAGAGAATTGTGGCAGACTGCAGAAAGAACATGTCTTCAGGAATCCTAGGTCACACTCTGACCCCATCACCCTACTACTTTCCAAATTCACAAATAATCAGGGCAAAACACTTACCGGCAATGAGGACACTGTGCTCTCTGCTCTGTCAGCCATCGCTATGGAAGCAAAAAAAAAAAAATAGATTTTCATTTTAAAAGCATTATGTTAATTTCTAAATATTAAAAATGTATATATAAAATTTAATTATTTTAACTACTTTCCAAGTTTCAGAATTCAATTCAACATTTATTGATTACTTAAATTATCATTCAGTATTGCAATTTTTAAAATTTTATTTATTTTGTTGTTATTGTTGAGGTATACACAGCAAAACATAGGCCAATTTAACAGTTTCTACATGTACAATTCAGTGATCTTAATAACATTCTTCAAAGTTGTGCAACCACTCATACCCTCCTGCTCTGAACTGTTTGTTCCTCCCTCATTAAGATACCCTGTCCCCTAAGCTTCTGATCTAATCTTTCAAGCTACTGTTGTCAATTTGATCCCACACAGATAGTTCTTAAAAGAACACAATGCTCAAGGCAGATATTTTTTACTAGTTAAACTAAAGTATTGTTTGGTTCCAAGAAGACTTCAGGGGATATTTGTGGTTTAAGGTTTAAGATGATCTCAGGGAAATAACGTCAGGATTTCATCCAGCTTTCAAGGCTCAGAAAGTCTGGAGTTCATAAGAATTAGAAATTCTGTCCTACAGTTTCCCTCTTCTGATCAGGCTCACAATGATCTTTTTGTTCAAATAGATTTTAAGAACTAAAAATTCAAAGATGAGTTACCTTTAATTTTTCTAAAGAGCTTAATTCTTCGGTGCTTGAATTATAAAGCCACTTATAGAAACAGCACATACCATGGCTGAGGTTAGGCACACCTTAGTTTTCAAAGTGACATCTCTGCTTCCTAATACTTTAAATAAATCTTTTGTAGATCTGCCCAACACAATATATCTGATTTCTTGACTACTCATTCCATAGGTGCTGTGTATCCAAGTAAAATGAAATCCCTGATAACTTCAAGCTTTTCTCCATTTATCATGATACTACTTATTGGTCTAATTGTTAAGGATTTCTGCTTATGGGAACAGATCACCAGGTCTTTCTCCCACAGAACTGCCAGGTAGGTGAGAGCTGCCAACTAACCTACCGTAAAATCCCTAAGTAAGTTTACAATATTACTAAATTCCTTCTTAAATACCAAAAAATAAAAACCAAACTCACTGCCATCGAGTCAATTCCATCTCACAGCAACCTTGATCGGGTTTCCAAGGCTATAAATCTTTACATAAGTAGATCACCCCATCTTTCTTGCACGGAGCAGCTGGAGGGTTTGAACCACTGACCTTCGGGTTGGCAGCCAAATAAATGCCTTATCCAATACACCACCAGAGCTCCTTCCTTCCTAAGTAAGCAAACTAATTTTGAGGTATATACATTATGGCATATAAATTAAGAGGTAATATAATGAGCAATTCAGCAAATTTTTATATTAAGTTTTTTGAGTTTTATAGTTTAGTAACCTTAATATCTACTTAACTTGGCTTCCGCATCTACTATAAATAGATTTTAGAAGAGAATGATACTCTATTAAACTCCAAAGTATATTAATTTAGTCTTTAAAACATTACTGGCTAAGAAACAGTTTTATACCATAAAGGAAATGCTAAGACTTTCTGAATACCTTTCCAGAAACAAATAAACAACCAGAAAAAAAAAAAAAAAAATGGCTTTATGGTTAAAGAATTTATGCTTTCTTTAAATGTCTAGCAAATAGGCTCAGAGGTAAGTAATTAATTATACAAAAAGATATCTTGGAACTTCAATCCATTGAAATAGACCCAGAATTGAGACAGATGTTAGAATTAGCAGAAAAGTACATTAAAACAGTTATTGTAATTGTACTCCTTATGTTCAAATAGTTAAACAGAAGACATGGAAGCTATAAGACCTAAGTCAAACTTCTAGAAAAGAACTTTACAATAACAAACTGATTTGGGAACCAATCACAGAGACGATACCTTAAGTTACACAAGTCAATCAGATGTTCCAAAGCAGAAGAATTTTCCCAGAAATGTCAGGGAAAAGAGAATGCCAGTGGCAATATCAAAGAACTTAAGGGGCAGGAGGAGGAAAAGGTAACAATAAAGACAGAAAGAATCAGTAAGACATAAGGTAGTAACAAGGTACCTTCATCAATAGAGCTGAGCCCCCTGACATGGAAGCCAATTACTTAATTTTGCTGAGCTTCAGTTTCACCTTTTATAACCTGCTATGTAGTTCTGGTGGCACAGTATAAAGGCATTCGGCTGCTAACCACAAGGTCAACGGTTCGAACTCATCAGCCACTATGTTGGAGAAAGATGTGGCAGTCTGCTTCCCTAAAGATTTACGGTGTTGGAAACGCTATGCCACAGTTCTATTATATCCTTATAGAGGTCACTATAAGGAGAATGATGGCAGTGGGTTTGGTTTTCTCGCTTATCACCAAACCAAAAAACCAAACTCACTGCTGTGGAGTTGGATCCAATTCATAGCGACCCCTCCTTGGGTTTCTGAGGCAGCATCACTACAGAAGTAGATCACCCTATCTTCCTTTCAAGGAGTGGCTTATCAATTGTTATATAACAACTAGCCTTACAACATCTTTCTCTACAACACTTTGACGCAAACAGCACTTTAAAACAGGGCTTCCTACCAGTTCAGTCATGACTGACAAAGTGAAATGATAACTGGAATGGAAAAAATTATGGGCTGAAGCCCTGGAATGGGAGACTCAGAAGTGGTGTAGTGAGCCTCTGCAGGAGCCTGATGTGGGAGATTGGATTACTGCCAGAATTATGGAAAGTGTGGTGCAGTCAGCTGCCATCTTTGAGCCAGATATTGCTGCTTCTCTGTAATTTTTCCCTTTCCAGTTCAACCACTTTTTACAACTTTGGGTCCATCTAGTTTCACTTCGTTGGCCACAGATGAACCAAGAATTGGTTCAAAGGCTTGCTTTACAGTTTCTAAATCACATTTAGCTAATTTCATTTAATGGTATAACCATATGGGAGACAGAGTTTGCTATCTCAATTCTATAGCTGAAGAAACAAGGCTGAAAAAGCTTAAGTCTCCCAATTTGTGTGGGAGAACTAGCATCAGAACTAAGGTGTTCCTTAAGTAGTGAAATGGTAAAGAATACAGGCTAGAGTCAAACTGCCTGGGTTCAAATCCAGCTCCACCATTTGGTAGCTATGTGACCAGAAGCAAATTATTTAACCTAAGTGTTGCAAATATTCCTCTTGTCAAAAGGATATTTATCTTCTGTAGGCAAGAATAAAGATCACAGAGCAATTTTGCAGTCAACAGTCATAGAAGATGGCTATGATTTTCTCAATAAAGGAAATAATCTAAGAGTAATGGCAGGACAGTTTTCAATTGTGTTTTGCAGACAAGCTGGTGTACCTCCCCCCAAACACACACAACCTTCAACCATAATAGGATCTTCTGTTTTACATCTTACACTTCATCATAATTTTGTTTCAGAGTTTCATCCAGTTTCACATTTTAAAACCAGTAGATTACATTTATCTCTAAGATCTCTTCTAATTATATGATTTTATTTACCTTTGAAGGCATTACCCACTCTCTCTCTCTCTTCCAAGCCCTGCGCCCTTTGTCAGAACTTCTTTTGTAACACCACAAACACTTCAATGTAACACAAAAGTCCATTTTCCCAATCAGACCTAAGCTCCTTCAGGATCTGATTTATCTTGGTATTCCTCAAGTAAGTCCAAGCACAATGTGGGCACTTTATAAGTATTTTTTAAAAATGTAATGAACTTAATAACATGAATAAATAAAATCATGGTGGGCTTTTGATTTCCAGAGGTAGGTAGGTTTCTTCAGAGGAGCTCTGGTAGCACAGTGCTTAAGGCACTTGGCTGCTAACCAGAAGGCTGGCGGTTCAAACCCACTAGCCACTCCTCGGAAGGAAGGTTAGGCAATCAACTTCTGTAGTGATACCGCCTCGGAAACCCAAGAAGGGGTTGCTATGAGTCAGGTCCGACTCGATGGCATATAACAACAACAACAACAACAAGGTTTCTTCAGACATTTCCTGGCTATATTATCACTTGAAGTTTATTCATGTCTATAGTACTAAGCAATATACATTGATGCTGTTCTTATCAAGGAACATGCCATCAGAGAAATATTTAAAAAGAGCACAAATATAAAGTAACGAAGATAAGGGAAATAGTTAATCCTCACAACATATCCTATATATATGAAATGCATGTAAAAAAGAAATACAACTTACCCTGATACAACTGAAACAACAAAGCTTGGAACAATGAGGACACAGGCGTGCATCCCTTAACTTCTCCATACAAATGAAACATCGGAAAACTTCAGCAATGCTCTGACAATAATAAAAAATGTAAGGTTATTGAATCAAGAGTAAAAAGCATACTTAAAATAATTCATTGGACATTTGTAACTATTTTAGGTTAATAATATCTCAGACTTAACTATATTCCTTATCAGGACTTAAGAGTCAAGGTCCAGGCTACCTAAGATCATCTCCTGGTAAAAGTGCTTCCTCTTTTTTTTGCAGGTATCACAATAGTTCTATTCTAAGGCAAGTATATGAAATGCAAACATAGATTCATCCATAAGTATTTTCATCGAAACATTAATTATAATAGCAAAAAAATCTGGCTATAGCCCAAATGTCCAAACATCAGAGTAAAGATCAAGTAATTTATGGCAGTTATACATGGACTATGACACAATTACTAAAATAAAATAATTTCTCAATATATTTTTTTTCTGGTCCATTTGTGAAGATTTTTATTTATTTTTTTATTGTTTTATTCTAAAGGAATACCCAACTAATGAGTGATTCATGGTTTCAAAGTCTTAGCAGAGGAGTCTACAGTAGTAGTAGTACTAGTAGTAGTAGTAGTAGTAGTTAAACTGTAATCTGCATGAGAATGCTGCTTAAAATGTCTAAGGTTTCCCCACACACACCCCAGTCAAATTCACCAAGTCTGTGAATCTGCATCTTGACAAGCAGCTGGTGACCCCCTTTTTTTTTTATCTCTCCAATTACTTAATGATGCAGGAAAAAAGCAGCCTAAATGATTGAATGCACAATATGAACGCTTTACTTCTTTTCTGCAACTTTCCCAAACGTAGTAAAATTTCATGATTTAAAGGGAAAAAAAAAATTCTTTTTATAAACACACATCCTAATAGCAGTGTCTTGATTCCAGAAAGAAACCAAATCAGAATGGAGAAATAGGAATTTCAGCCCTGATGTTGCAACCAACTAGCCACTCATTTGAGCCTGAGATTCTAATCCTACTAAGAATTTTGGTGGTAGTTTTATGAGACTTTAAGAAGAAAAAAAAATTATGTAAAGTGATGAAAACAGTATTATCTTTGAAAGCTTCATATTTATCTATGTAGGAAGTAACTGACAAGTTATAAGAAAAGATATAATTAAATGCACTATAATTAATTTTGTTTTTGTTTCTTGACATTTCTTTTTACTCCAATCCAGGAAAATTTAAGCCTTCTAGGGGTCGCTATGAGTCGGAGCAGACTCGACGGCAAACAACAACAACAACAAAGCCAAGGTAAATTTACAAATCCTTTATAATACTTTCACATGAGGAACTAACAAGAAAATTACTCATGAGTCTAATCATGACTTTGCAGGGCCTAGAAGAACCTGAGATGAAGATTCTCCACCTGGCTGCGAGATGGGCTAGTCTCAAGTGGTTGGTCTATTTGCTTCAAAGTATCTAGGCACAGAGTTGCCCTTACTAAGAGGCAAAGATTTAGTATGTGCACAATTAAAAATGGGCAATACCTACATAATTACGTCCAATAAACGGAATCTTCGTGTTTTTAAATATTCGAACCACTGGAAATCAGAGCTTAACTGGAGTCAGATATAAACAGAACAGTTTGTTCCAAAAACAACAATCAAATATTATAGTAAGAATATATCTCCATTCAATGAAGGGCAAAAAATCTGCAGAATGCCGAGATGGAAAGGAGGATTTGGATAGAGCCATTAACTAGAATGCCGCAAGGATCTGATGAATTTGCAATTTTGCTCTTCACAGGCTGTACTTTCCCAATACCCAGCAGGTGCCAAGGCATCCTTGAAAAAGCCAAGAAACGCACCACATGACTGCAGAAAGGTTTGAGCTTAAGGCACCCGGAGGGCTGCAGAACGAGCACCGCCCATTCCCAACGGGCCAGCCTTCTCCATAGCGGTAACTGCGGAGTGAGAGTGCCCTACCGGAGAGAGCACATGGGGCAAAGCAAACTGGAATAAAGAAAGCTCACCGATGGTGGGGGGAAGACTAACTACCACACCACCCTCCTCAAACCCTCTCACCTCCACGCTCTGTTCATCCATTGCCTCCGGCTCTCGGAGGGGCCCCAGGCGACCCGCAAGTCCGTGGTCTGACCTATAAGGCACCGGCCCGAGGTCGCCAGGTCAGTTCCGCCGTGGAGAAAATCCCAGAGACCACGTCAAGAGGCTTCGACGACAGTCCCACCTGCGCTCCCCATCGCTCCTGGTTGGGCTCCGGCTACCCCACTACCAACGGTAACCAGGGCAGCTGCAGGCGCGGCGGCGCGTCCGGGCGCGTCGCGCATGCGCGAGCGCTGCGGGACGGGAAGCGAGGCGGGTACTTAACTCCCGCGGTTCAGGGATGCACGCGAGACTTGGAGGCTTGCAGCTGCAGTGTTGCGTGCCTGGGGCCACTGGCTCGCCTGGGCAGGTTGGGCTCTGGCGGTTTATTGCGTCCTGCCCCAGCCCCAGGGGCGGGCTTAAAGTTTTGCGCGCCAAAGACCGGAGCCACCTGGAGCGCATGATGAAAACTCAGACTCCGGAGCCACACCCCTAGGTATTCCGATCCCTAAGGTTGCAAACCAAAAGAACAAAAGCACTGCCGTGGAGTCGGATCCAACTCCTAGCGACCCCCACTTGGGTTTCAGAGGCGGTATCACTACGGAAGTAGATTGCCCAACCTTCCTTCCGAGGAGTGGCTGGTGGGTTTGAAGCCGCAGCCTTCTGGTTAGCAGACAGATGCTTTAGGCGCTACACCAATAGAGTTGAAAATCTCCATTTTCAACAAACACTCCTGATGATTTGGCTGTGGTTAATCCCTGGCTGCATTTTGAAAAACCCTGGTGCAGAGGATTTGTAGCTAATGGTCTTCTTCTAGGAGGAAACTCCAGAGTCTAAGGTTTTTAAGACTTCCGCACACCTACATGGAACGCTGGTGGCACAGCGGTGAAAAAGCCTGCTAACCAAAAGATTGGCGGTTTGAACCCACCAGCTGCTCTGAGGGCGAAAGATATGGCAGTCTGTAAAGCTTACACCCTTGGAAACCCAGCGGAGCAATTCTGATAGGTCCTGTAGGGTCACTATGAGGCCTAATGAACTCGAGGACAGTGGGTTCGGGTGGACCCCACCCACTGCAGCAAAAGAATTCTGCAGCTTCAGATTCTGAAGTCTAACCAGAGTTGCCCTTTCTTATCTCACGGGGGGTCATGGGGGACACATGCTTCAGACATCAGATCCATACTCTGTATATAGATAATATTCAGATCTTGCCACTTGAGTTGTTGACCTGTTGCCAGGGGGACTATGGAAAAATGTAAAACAGCTTCCCTATAATTGGCATCTAGTATCTACAACTTTCTCACGTTTTAAAGACAAAGAACTGAAGGTGTGAGGCAAAGGTCATAAATTGAATGGTTAATCCTAATACCGTATTTGGTGCATATGTTCTATATCCTAGTTGACTGAATAACACTGGAGGTCTTGAAAGCTTTGAAGAGGCCATCGAAGTAGCAACAATTGATCTCTATTCACTTGGAACATTAGAGGAAGGAAAGTCAGTAATAGAATATGGAATGTGTAACTAACTGCCTCCATGGACAACTGCCTACTTTGCATGAGACCAGAAGAAATGGATGGTGCCTGATTACCATTATTGAACATTTTCATCAAAAAATCCATAGAAGAATACTGATCAAAAGGGGGAAAATGGAGAATTTTAAATTCACATGCTCTCTAAACTTTCTGAAGTCTTTTTAAAACCAAGCAATAATTTAGCTCAACTAGTAAAAAAAAAAAAAAAAAAAAAGTCTGCTTTGAGCATGATGCTCTTTTAAGAACTATCTATATGGTATCAAATTGACAACAACAACTCCAAAGATTAGACAGGAACCTTATGAGACAGTGAGTTTATGTTAATGAGGGAAGAACCACTCAGAAAAGGAGGGTGAGAATGGTTGCATAACTTGAAGAATGCAATCAGTGTCACTAAATTATACATGTAGAAACTACTGAATTGGTGTATGCTTTACTGTGTATATTCTCAACAAGAACAAAATAAGTACACTGTAGAAGAAGAATATTACCATGGCTTGGATAAGGCACACCGTAGTCATCAAAATAACACCTTTGGTTTATAACACTTTAAAGAGGTCCTTTGCCTCTTTTATGTCATTATCTAATGACATAATGCAATATGTCATTAGATTTCTTGACTGCTGGTTCCATAGGTATTGATAGTTGGTCTGAAAAGAATGGAATTCTTGACAACTTCAATTTCTTCACCATTTATCATTAGCTTTCATATATTAAAAATAATTGCAGCAATATAGGATGAAGGACAACAAAGGTAGTACTGAGATACAACGTGGACATTGTAAAGCAGCATTCGGAAACAGTTCATGATGCTCAATATTAGCAGGCAGAAGGAATAGGAAGAGAATAAACAAAAGTGAGGCTGTCACAGAGATGTTTATTACATTATTTAGGTTTAGTGAGAAACTGGCAAAGTATAGGTCACATACTAGGCACTGACAGTCTCACCAATGCAATCAACATTTTTAAAAATGAAAAATATATATACCTATGTCATAGATGGGACCTCTGGTAGCGTAGTGCCTAAGGCACTTGACTGCTAACCAGAAGGCTAGTGGTTCAAACCCAGCAGCCAATCTTTGCAAAGGTTAGGCAATCTATTTCCGTAGTGATACTGCCTCAGAAACCCAAGAAGGGATCACTATGAGTCAGGTCCGACTCGATAGCACATAACAACAACATGTCATAGATAATATATAATACATATAATACAAATATTTTGCCTATCCTTTTATTTTGACTAACAATACATAAAATATATATATCCCAATTATACAAAAAGAAAACAGATACAAAATAACTTAAAGGGATTTTCTTGCTTGGAATCACAAGACTAAGTGGACACAAAGTTTTTAAATCCCTTTATTCCTTCTTCCATTCTTCTGGCTGAACTTTATTCATAAATCTGCCTTTCTTCTTACATTCCCCTCACTTGTGAAAGGCATCCAGTCTTCCACCCCAAACCTTACCAGCCCCCACCTCTAGTCAGCAAGTGTTAATAAGACAGCTTCCTAAATTTCTCTAGAACTGATCTCTTCTCCATTAGAGTTCCCTTTTGCAAGTCCATTTCTTCACAGGTCTGGCATGTAAAATTTTAATTGCTTTTCCACAGTTTTCTCTTCTTCAGTCAGTGGTGACAGCTAGAAAAGCAAATGACGAGATCTGTAGTTCAAAAATTTTCAAAACTGGTAAGTCCATTTAGTTAACTTTCACTTTGGCACCCTAACAAATGTTTCATAAGCATATACCATGTGCTGATCACAACTTTAGTAAGGCAGAGGGGACACAGATATTTGGCTACCTACATACAAGGTAAGGAGCTCTGGCAGCACAGTGCCTAAAGCATCTGACTACTAACCAGAAGATTGGTGGTTCAAACCCACCAGTCACTGCAGAAGGAACACTGGGCAATCTATTTCCGTAAAGATTTACCACCTCGGAAACCTACAGGGGGTCACTATGAGTCAGAATCGACTTATTGGCCATGGGTTTGGGTCTTTTTTTTATATATACAAGGTACTATGAAGTTTCACCTTCCAAGGAGCTTGCAATTCAGTTTAAAAAAAAAAAAAAAGGTCAAGAAATCAAACAGTGTAAGGACTATAATTTGTTAACCAAAGAAACCATGTTTGAGTGCCACATGCTAAAAGTATTCTGAAAACAAAAAGATTGTGAAAAAAAATAATCTACCAATTTTCCCAGATTAGTAGAGACCTGGGATAAATTCTGAAGAAAAATAACATGTTTTCAGCTGTAATAGAAATACATTTCAAAGTGGTTTCAAGAAAGTTTATTATACTTACTCCTCACTTACTATCGTGTTATCTGACATTTCACATTTATGACAATAGTAAAGCTCTATCTGACTATTTTGTGCATTAACTACATACATGTGGCAGTAATGAACACTAAGGTGCAAGAGGAGAGTAACTCTGGCTATGATGGTAAAAGGGTTATGTGTCAAATTGGCTGGGCCATGATTCTCAGTGGTTTGGCAGTTATATAATGAATGATAGAATCTGACAGTTATGTAATGGTATAGTCATCCTTCATTTTATAATCTGATGGGATCATCCTCCATTTTCACATAACAACCTGGTCTTTGGAACCTAACCGTATCATTAAGTGAGGAGTAGGTGTATCATGGCACAGTTACTTCAGAAGATGGGAAACTTCAGAGTTGGTTTATTCAACAGCTCAACAAAGTAAGGTCTTGGTTTTTTCCATCTTACATCTCTGATATCCTTGATGGTAATAGCAAAATGGCTCTGACAATGCTAGACATCACATCTATATGTGTATGGATCCAAAAGAAGAAAAGCAACTTTCTCTTCTCAGGGCTCTATCAGCAATGAGGAAACGGTCCCTAGTGACCTACTTATAGACTTTTCATCCTTACAAGCCACTGAGTTACAAGGCCATTCTGAACTAATGCTGGTTAAAAGAAAATCCATTCCTTGCCAATGAGGAGCTGAGAATGAGGTCACCTTAGGCATATGGCTGTGAGGGAAAGCACACATCTGAAGAAAGTCAGTACTCTGATAGGCAGCAGGGGCAAACAGACGCTGAGAAAGCAACCAGCCAACAATACCCACCAAAAATAGGTAGGAGCAAAAGCACAGAGGAAGAAGGGAATTTGTGAGTGACTTTCACAGAGCACCAACAAACAAGCTAGCTAAAGTATAGGATTAATTGGGAAAATAATAGGAGCTACAAACTGAAGTGTCACTTGTGTAGTTACAAATCTGCCTAACTATATAGGTCATCTCTAAAGAGAACGTCAAATCTGGAACAACCCAGACCTACACAGGGCAATGCTGTTCAAAAGAACTTTCCAGGATACTAGAAATATTCTCAATCTGCAATTATCCAACTGGTAGCTCAGGAACTAAAAATATTAATTTAAGTATTACATAATTTTAATTTCTATAGCCATGTGACTATTGAACAGCCAAGCTCTAGGTGAAAAACTCCAGAACCTACATGACTCTGATATGCAGCTAGTTTTTGGTAGCTGCTAAATATGCCCATAACTGACTAAAATGTTCACATGGATAAAATGAAAGACAATCATATGCCTTACTACAACACAAATATTTCCCTATTCTACCCTAAAAAAAAGGAAAGGGGATTATTCTGGCAAGACTTGTTTGTTCTCCATGAATCTATGTTGCTCTTTGTGATCAAGGCTCAAGAGGTTTCAGACCATCTGTTTATAAACCTTCAAAGAATTTTTCCAGATATTAAGTTCAAAGTAACCATTCTAAAATTTGTAGAACTTTTATTTCTTCTTTACTCAACAGTTTTGGAGTATAAATGGAATACCACACATTTATTTTAAATCTTTCTTTCATTTTCTAATTTTCACTATATTTTTGTTTTGTTTTCTTTTTTTTTTGTCTTCTGGTAGTCACCATTGTCTTTCAGTATAGTTGAACATCAACATCTTAATATCAACTAGGGAAGATGAAGAAATCAGCATGCATTCCCTTCCTCCCACTCCCTTCCATTCTCATTACTTTATTATTTAATATTATCAATTCAAGTGCTTCTGAAAATACATTTTTCTACCCTTCCAAATCGAAAACCACTCCCATTAATAAAGATTGTTTTAAGATAATACCAGAGCAGTTTTACTTCCTGTTGTCTAGAAAGCCCCATTCGCCTTAAGCGGGCTTATCTCTTTCTTCTTCTTCTTCATGCTCCCAAAATAACTTTAAGGGCCTTTTTGGTTATTTCAGAAAATTTCAGAGGACTCAGGTCCATCTGGCCTTTGGCTTTCTTAACTATTCTCACAGGCCTGTCCCTGTGACTGATGTGTACCTTTTTATACTTGATATTCCTTTACAAAGTCTATCTGTCTCCTTTGTATGTCCTTTGAATGCTAGGCTCATAGAGCAATTTTTGATTATATAGCTCTTTATTAGCACTATTCCCTTTCCTTCAATACAAAAATTCTAACAATATAATGGTCTATATTTTAAGTCTCCCATTCAATCTTAAGTCCTTTATAACGCAACATAAGATGGACTATCACACCTGTATTTTCTCTACTATTTTTCTTTTTTTTTTTTTCCTGTGGGTAAACTATATATAATAAAACATTTGCCATTTCAAACATTTTACTTGTGTAATTCAGTGACATTAATTACATTCACCACGTTGTGCAATTTTCACCACTATCCATTTCCAAATTTTTTCATCACCCCCAAACAGAAACTCAGTATCCCTTTAAGGTGGTGGACTTAGTAAGTTTAATTAATTAGCAAGTTTTCTCTCTGATACGGTTACATAATCCATGATAGCATACCTCCTCATTAACCATGGCAAATTTGCATGCTTACTTTAAAATAAAAGGAGGTAAAAGTGTCAGCTTCTACACTTTAAAGTTAAGAAAATCTCATTTTTATCAACTCAGCAAAGTGACTTCTAAATTACAAAATGCAAGTTACTGAGGGTTTATCTTTCAGAGAGACACTCAGAAGTAAAACTATGCATATCTGACTTGTCAACTGAAAGCATTACCTGCAACTGGAAGTTTTATTCATTGCTGGTGGGAATGCAAAACGGTACAGCCATTGTGGAACTAAGTGGTGGTTCCTCAGAAAACTAAAAATAGTACTATATAACCCAGCAATTCTACTCTAGGTATAAACCCAAAAGATTTGAAAGCAGAGACTCAAACAGATATTTGTACACCAGTGTTCACCGCACCACTTTTCACAAGAGGCAAAACGTCAAAAGGTAGACACAACCTAAATGTCCATCAATGGATGAATGGATAAACAAAATATAGTACGCACATACAAGGGAATACTACTCAGCCAGTAGGAGAAATGAAGTCTTGATACAAACTATAGTATGGAAAGGAGCTCTAGTAGCATAGTGCCCAAGGCATTTGACTGCTAACCAGAAGGCTGGTGGTTCAAACCCACCAGCCACTCCTCAGAAGGAAGGTTGGACAATCTACTTCTGTAGTGATACTGCCTCAAAAACCCAAGAAGGGGTCGCTATGAGTTGGGTTTGACTCGATGGCATTGCATATAGTATGGAAAGAGCTTGAAGACATTATGCTGAGTAAAATAAGCCAAAGGATAAACACTGTATAACCTTACATAAAAAGGTAAGAACAAATGAATGTATAGAGGCTAAAGTTTATTGGTGGTACCAGAGGCTGAAGGAGGGGGATCCAGAGGATGACTGCGTATGGAGCACTGAGTTTCAGTTTGCAGTGATAGAAAAATCAAGGGTAAGCTTGGACTGCTGATTAATGTAATTGCCATCAATAAAAAAGCTGAATTAGCAAAAGTTGTGTGATAAATATATTTACAACAACCAAAAAAAAAAAAAAAAAAAAAGTAGCTGCTGACGCTGCTTATGTACAACCAAATACCTCATGGGATTTGGTTTCTTTGTTTGGAGCTTTAGAGTCATGGTTTCAGAGGCTATCCCAGTTATCTGAACTAATCATATTTAGTGCTTCTGCTGCACATCCTAGTTTGTTGGACAGTGCCTGAGGCCTTAATAGCACAACAATTGGTCTCTATTCACCTGAAGCCACAGAAGATGCAGGAGAGTCAGGAATAGGAGGAGGATATGGAATATGTGGAAAATTGCCTCCATGAACATCTGCCTCTTTTGTCATGAGACCAAAAGAACTGGAATGGTGCTTGGCTACCATTACCGAACATTTTGATCCAAGATTTTATAGAAGAATCCTGATCAAAAGGGGGAAAATATAAAACAGAATTTCAAACTGTCATGTACTCTAGACTTTCTGGAGCCATTGAGGCTGGATAAATTCCTGAAACTACTGCCCTGAGATAATCTTTAAACCTTAAACCAAAAGCATCCTGTGAAGTCTTCTTAAGGAAGGTTGGGCAATCTACTTCCGTAGGGATACTGCCTCAGAAACCCAAGGAGGGGTCACTATGAGTCCGACTTGACGGCACATAACAACAAGTAAATGAAAGTCTGCCTTGAGCATTATGCTTTTTTAAGGTCTATCTACATGAAATCAAACTGATAACAACAACTCAAAAGATTACATAGGAAACTCAGAGGGCAGTTTTTACATAATTTACATTAATGGGAGAGGAACTCCTCAGATAAGGAGGATGAAAATGGTTGCACGACCAGAAGAATGTACTCAATGTACTGAATTGTACATGTAGAAACTGCTGAATTGGTATGTTATATTCTGTATATTCTTAACAACAAAAATAGAATAATTTAAAAAGAAATCATTACCTCTAGGTCTGTTAGCTTTTGAAGTTCTCGTATCATGGTCATAGTCTTATCCAAAGTAACACAAATGCGGCCCTTAGTCTCTTTTTGTTCAACAGCAGTTGGTTTAATACGTTTGTGCAAAGTCTGATATCGAGACTTTATCGCTGACAATTCCTTTAAGAGTGTAACTGGATTTTTCTACATTAGGAAACAAGTTAACACATATTAACTCATGAAAAGAAAAATAAAGCTCTTTCAAGAATTAAAATACATACAACATTATTCTATCATGTATTAATCTAACATTTTCAGTATTTAATTATGACAAAGTCAGTCTATGCAGCTATGTCCCAGAGTATGGGAGATTGGAGAAAGAGAGAAGTGTAAGACCTACTCTCAAGGAATTTGGAGTCTAGCTATAGAAATAATCCACTAAAAAAATCAGCAGTGTTGTACAGCAAATAAAGTCACTTTAGTTGTATAACATTTGATGCTTGGTTCACTCATTAATTACACAGTATTTCTAAAATATGATTCTAAATACTAAACCAACTAAAACCAAACCACACTCACTGCCTGAGTCGGATCTAACTCATAGAGACTCATAAAAGCATTATTAGGATTTGCTCTTAAAGAAAAAAAAAACTTGAAAGCATTTATAAAATTCTTAAACACATTGTTATGGGTTGAATTGTGTCCCCAAGAAAGATATGTTCAAGTCCTAACCTCCAGTGCCTGTGAATGTGACCTTATTTAGAAAGACGCTTGCAGATGTGATCAAGTTAAGATGAGGTTACACTGGACCCTAATCCAATGATTGGTGTCTTTATAAAAGGGAAATATAGGCACAAAGACACAAAAATGAGAATACAATGTGAATCCAGAGACTGGACTAATGGTGTTTACAAGCCAAGAAATGCCAAGAATTGTGGCAACCTCTAAAAGCTATGAGAGGGACATGGAACAGATTCTTACCCAGAGCCTTGAGAAGGAGCGTAGCCTTGCCGACAAACTGATTTTGGATTTCTTGCCTCCAGAAGGCAAGAAATTAAAGAGAGAGAATAAATATCTGTTGTCTTAAGCAACCCAGTTTGTGCTATTTTATTAAGATAGTCCTAGGAAACTAATACACACAGTATTTCTAAATACTGGCAATGGGGATAAAATTACCTGTGTTACATAGTAGGACTACTCCATTGGGTTTTCTTGGCTATAATCTTTATGAAAGCAGTACCTCAGGCCTTTTTTCAACAAAACTGCTGTTGGGTTAAAACTGCCAATTTTTAGATTATCAAGTGAGTGCAAATCATTTGTGTCAACCAAGTATATTACGTGTATATTACATAACTAACTTTATCCTCTTCCAAACTGTGAAGTAGACAATAACATCCCCATTTTACAGATGAGGAAACTAAAGTACAAGAGGCTAATTGACTTGCCTAAAATCACAATGGCAGTAAAAGGCAGAACAGTTCGCCCTCAGGAAATCAATAGATACTTCAGATAGGGGTGTGTGTGAAAAAAGGAGTAGCAATGTAAGGATTTATAGAAATAAGTACAAAAAGCTAAAATAAAGCGGTGACTATCTCGGAGTCAGGAGAGTGTAAAGCAAGGAATTGCTGTTGGCAATTACAAGCTTTATAGTTCTATGACCTTTCAAGTTATGTATACATGAATTACTTTGATTTTAAAAAATTAAAGTTGGGAGGAAAATTGGTATGAGAGGAGAAAATATCAAGTATAAGGTACACAATGAGTCATCTAAGTATAAATGACCCTTTGGTGATTGGACTAAACCTCAGTAGTGAAGTGCCCATGGACAGAATTTCCAAAATATAAATTTATGGTGAAAAAAAAAAATGAGAGCAGAACTATCCCTGATAATTTCCCAAAATTAGGAAAAGAAAGAATTGGTGAATCTTTCTTTTTGCCAATAAGCAATCAGCAAGTAAGCTAACAAGTTAGGACAGAGTATCAGATAAATCACACCCATGTTTAGTGATATGAACTAGATCTAATGACACTCATTTGAAAATGACTGATTCAGGACAGCATGATTTTTATGTCCCATTTATGATTACCTTATAGTCAGGACTCAGCACCACACCACAGAGGAAGAAACTGTTATACACATAGCCTAGAAAAATATTTATTTGTCTGAATGACTGCCTCCTTGGGTGCCACTGTATTCTTTTATTGGTGTTTGTAAACTGTACTGTACTCTTGTGCCTTGTTGTTGTTGTTATGTGCCGTCAAGTCGGCCCCGACTCATAGCGACCCCTCCTTGGGTTTCCGAGGCAGTACCACTACGGAAGTAGGATTGCCAAACCTTCCTTCCGAGGAGTGGCTGGTGGGTTTGAACCGCCAGCCGTCTGGTTAGCAGTCAAGTGCTTTAGCCACTATGCTACCACAGCCCCTACTCTTGTGCCTATAACACCTTAACTCATTTTAGAGCTTTGATTAATCTTAAGTGTGTGATAAAAGGTCATAACAAGATGTGACAGTTGGGGTTGTGTGTCAACTTGGCTGGACCACAATTCTGAGTGATTTAAGCAGTTGTGATGTAATTATTTCCATGATGAGATCTGATATATATGCTTTGAGCAGCCAATCAGTTGAAAGGGAGTTTCCCTAGGGGTGTGGCCTGCTTCGAATATCTATATGGACATCCTGGGAAAATTTGAGAACCTTTTGTAGATCTGGATCTTGTTTTGCTGCCTACAACTGTCCGTGAGCAACAATTCACCATTCTGCCTGGTGATCTTGGATTCATCATCCTCCAAAGTCAATAGCTGTTATACTGCCTGCCAACCTTGAGCTTGTCAGCCCCTACAGCTGCATGAGTGGAGAAAAGACTCCAGTTTGACGTTTGATCCAGGAACTTGGGACTTGCCAGCCTCTATAATTGTGTGAGCCATTTTCCTAAGATAAATTTCTCTCTCTATATATATAAGCTGTACTGGTTTTGCTTCTCTAGAGAACCCAACGTAACACACAAGAAATGTTCTACTAATCATAGTGCTGGTTATGAAGAAAAAGAAAAGTCAATACTCTTAAGCAAAAAGCTCAACTTAATTGAGTCTTTTGAAAGAAACTGAAGAAAATATGCTATCAGTTGTGATACTAAAAAGGGACAATGCTCATCAATTAAAACAAAATTATCTTACTGAAACAAATAAGGGAAAACATAGTAATGGGAACTTGTAGTTTATTTTATTTTTATGTCTACACATATCCAAGTCAAAAAGGTTGACATTTATTCCAAATTACTGACAGTCTCTAAATCACAAATTGTACTAGAAAGAGGATAATGCAGCTAAATAAAATCACATACATGTATGTGGGTGTGAGAACACACACAAACACATACATATGACAGTGCTTGGCATAGTAATGCTCAATGAATGTTTACAACCACTACCACCACCCTACCACTGTGTAGGGGTATTAATGATTACTGCAACTGACCGTTTACTTTCTTCTTCCTTGAGCCACATATTATAAAATAATTACAAATAATTTTGTAATGATTAAGATCATAGTTTTGCTCCCAAATGAAACACTCAAAAGAGGAGAAAGGAAATATTTTCTTGAAGTTATTGGATAAATGTTACAGGTATTTAAAAAGTTTTTGAAGATAGTGAATATTCTATGGCATGCAAATTATACAATAAAACTTATTAAAGTTGTAGAAAAGAGAAATAACTGTAGGCGGAACAAATAAGAGAGGTGGAAGGCAGAGGAAAAGTGGAAGCACCATATGAGAAGGTCAGATGAGTCTGCTGGCCAGCCATTAGGTGGTATCACTGGACCAGAATGGTTGGTAGCTCAGTCAGAAAGAAAAGGGAAGAAGATAAGGAAAAGTCAAGTCAGTTAAAGAGCTAGAAAATTCAAACTTCACTCTCATTGAATTGTGGCATTGCATAAAATAAACAGTAAAAACCGAATATTCATGATGTTTCCCCAATTTTGTGGGATTCACACTTCTAACCAACCCAAAAATTTATTTGAATTTTATGGAACTTTTTTTTTAAAATAACTGTGAATCATGGGAGAAGGAAGGGCTGCTTATGCACAGGGAGACAGCTCAGGGCACAGAAGAGTATGGAGGGATGGACACTGGGAAGAGGTAACTATGGGGAGGAAGTGGGAGGGGAGCTGTTGCATTGTAAACTGTGGTCAATGGCATGAGACAAAGTATATATGAACTGCTGTATGAAAAGTGAATTTACTCTGTAAATCTTCACCCAAATCAAAATAAAATTAATTAAATAAATAAATAAATAAATAAAAATAACTGTGAAACATAATATTGCTTGTCTGCTGGTGAATGCCATCAAGGATAAACATAAATGATTTAAGTGGTAAATTAATGTTTACAATGTTTAAAAATAATTTACTTTTAGCTCCATAGGCATGTGTACTTTTAGTTAAGATTTTATGGCATATAGACAGAGTTAAGATTGCTAATTAACCTAAACACAGAATAACTAACTACATCATTTTATGCAAAAATCAGTTTATATCATATAATTAAACAAAATGGTATGTTATTTTCCACAGAGATTACCCTGAATGCCAAGATTTCTCTACGCAATTTATTTAAGAAACACTTCCCTAGAAAACCAAACCCAAACTTGCTGCCACAAGTTGATTCTGACTCCTAGCAACCCTATCAAACTGAGTAGAACTATCCCCGTAAGGTTTCTAATGCTGTAATCTTTAAGGAAGCAGTTTGCATATCTTTCTCCCATGGAGTGGCTGGTGGGTTCGAACCACCAACCTTTTGGTTAGTTGCCAGGTACTTAACCACTGCACCACCAAGGCTCCTTTCCACTACCCTATAGGTATCTATATTCTCTCGCAGAATTTTAGAATCTTCTAATGTGGTTTGTACCTCTGGAGTAATGATTCTTATTATATATACTTTTTTTTTTTTTTTTAAAGGCACCCACAAATTTCCCTAACTGTAGATATAGCATCACCAGTATGTTGTAACCAAGCTTCTAACCTAGTAAGATTTTAACATGCTATATACTTATACTTAATAATTGTTTGCTAATACATCTAATAGGAGTTCTGGTGGCATAGTGCCTAAGGCATTTGACTGCTAACCAGAAGGCTGGCAGTTCAAACCCACCAGCCACTCCTCGGAAGGAAGGTTGGGCAATCTACTTCTGTAGTGATACTGCCTTGAAAACCCAAGGAGGGCTCACTATGAGTCAGATCCGATTGGACAGCAGTGAGTTTGGGTTTGGTAATAGACCTAATACTATTAGATATACCATCAGAAAATCTTACTATAAAATATTCAGTTACAAAGACATATTACTTTTGCAGATTACCGTGCCAGCTGAATCAGGATGATTGTTTTTGATTTCATATTCCAGCCTGTACAGAATACAATCCAGATCAGAATCAGCTTTCTGGAACTAAAGAGCAGCACAAATCATTATTCTGTGAACCAAAAGACATTATTAATAATACTTTGACTATTCTTTCTTTTCCCTTTATATTTTTAAGACTTTAATAATAACTATGAGATACACACACATTTTTAAAACGTGAAAATTAAAATGCGTATACAACTTCCATCATCTGTAATCTCTATCCTCCAGTAAAAATTTTTAAAAAACAAACTAGTTAACCTTTTGAAATAATATAGTCCAGTCATTTCTTTATGTACCACGCTTGGATTTTGAGCTAAAATTAAAACACTAAGTAGCCACTCTCTTATATGTTAACACAAAAAATTAACTTGACTTCAAGAATTCCCTAGGGTCGGTGACACTCACAGTTAGGCAGTATTTTTTTCTACCTCTGGCAGGAAATATAGTTTCAAGTCAAAACACAGAATAAACTGATTTTCAGGGGTACTAACTGTTACCATTATTTACAATGGCATTAACCAAAAGAGCTATGGATTTATGCTAGAGTCCAAAATTACAGAGTTTAGAATTACAAAGTATACAAGACAAAAACCACACATTACATAGGAATAGCAGTCTAAATAATCCCAATGTGTTGTATGTGAGTCTTACAAGGGACCTTGATCTGTAGTAAACTTCTAAGGGGGAAAAAGAAAAAAAAAGACATCAGGGTTATAAACCAAAACCAAATCAAACTGCCATCGAGTCAATTCCGACTCACAGCAACCCACACTAGGTTCACAGAAGAATCTTCACAGAAGGAGATTGTTTCATCTTCCTTCTGCGGAACAGCTGGTGGGTTTAAACCACCAACCTTCTGGTTAGCAGTCAAATGCCTTACCCACTACACCACCAGAGCTCCTTGGAAGAATATATATGTGTTTAAAGTATCTTATCTCTAGTGTGAAATTATCAATAAATTATACCTACTCTTCACTTATCGAAGATCTCCTTATTCCGTATTTCTCATTTACAATAGTAAAAAATCCACTATGGATTACTGTGTACATTAACAAGGTGTATCTGGCAGTAATGAATGCTGAGGTGAAGGCAAGAGTAACACTTGCTGTGGTTATGTGTCAACTTGGCTGGCCCATAATGTCTCACTTTGGCAGCTATTTAATTATGTAAACTGGCAGTTAGTTATATGATGACCTATTTACCCACTATTTTGTGATCTAATATAGTCATCTTCCATTTTCACATAACAATGATCTTTGCATAACAAGCTGGTCTTTGGAACCTAACCATGTTGATAAGTGAAAAGTGGGTATATTCTTAACTTTTTGAAACTCTGGATCTCTTACATGATCTTATTTAAAAAAAAAAAAGAAAGAAAAAAACCTCACTGCCATTGAATCGTATCCAACTCGTAGCAACCCCTCCTTGGGTTTCCAAGGAGGTATCTCTACAAAAGCAAATTGCTCGATCTTCCTTCCAAGGAGTGGCTGAGGGATTTGGACCGCCACCCTTCTGGTTAGCAGTCAAAGGTCTTAGGCACTACATCACCAGAGCTCCCTACATGATCTTATAGCATATAATATTTTGAATTTAACAGGGAACCAACTGTAATCTTTACATTTTTCTATGGAAGGCAAAACATGACTTCCTTAGAGATGGGCTCCGTTTCCTAAGCCATAGCCTGGGAGACTGTTTGGGGAGGTCAAAACCTTATAATGGACTTAAGCTCTGGACTAAACATTGGTTCTTGAGGTTCTGAAACCTGAGCAAGAGAGGTAGAAACCAGAAAAAGTATAAAAAGGATTTCTCAGATTTAATAAGAAACAATTTACAGATAATTTTGATTATGTAAAATGTAAAGCAAGGGTCCTATTCTAGAATGCAGAGTAAGACAAAATGGTTTTCAGAAATTAAAATGCTTCTAAGGTCAGAAGCTGTCATCATTGAACAGAATTTCAGAAATAGATAAACTAGAGGTTCCATCAGTAATAGCTTTCCTCATCACTGTCTAAATTATAATGAAGTATCTTATAATTACTAAAATTCTATTTTTATAACCAAAAATTTTTAGGGTAGATATAGAAGGAAAAAGTCAGTTTTTATTTCAAAAATATTTTTCAAGAGTTATCAGATTTCTATCTCTAACTGCAGGGAGTTGCTATGAGCCAGAAAAATAAATACTGGGTAATTAATTATAAACTGTGCTTAAAATTATTTCTAAAAATAGAGGCTTATCATTTGTTATATATAAATGTCATATATCTATATAACACACACACACACACACATACATATATGTGTATAAATATACATTTATTAGTATTTAGAATTATTGATTAGTTTAATCTTGATATCTAATCTAACAAGTGGGAGCTCTGGTGGTGTAGTGCCTAAGGCACTTGACTGCTAACCTGAAGGTTGGCAGTTCAAACCCACCAGCCACTCCTCAGAAGGAAGATTTGGCAATCTACTTCTGTAGTGATACTACCTCAGAAACCCAAGGAGGGGTTGCTATGAGTCAGAGATGACTCACAGCACATAACAACAACAGCAATCTAACAAGTATACCCATTGGCATCAGGTCAATTCTTCACAACCCTATAGAATAGAATAGAGATACCCCATAGGGTTTCCAAGGTTGTAAATCTTTATGGTAGCAGACTGCCTCATCTCTCTTTTGCAAAGTGGCCAGGGGTTCGAACTGCCCACCTTTTAGTTAGCAGCCAAGCACTTAATCACTGTATCACCACAGTTCCTAGAACAAGTATATACCAAAACAAAACCCACTACCATCCAGTCAATTCCAATTCACAGCAACCTTATAGGGCAGAGTAGGAACTACTCCATAGGGCTTCCAAAGCTTTATGGAAACACTGTCTTATCTTTCTCCCACCAAACAGCTAGTGGTTTCTAATAGCTAACCTTTTGGTTAACAGCTCAATGCTTTCACCACAATGCTACCAGAGCTCCTTTATAACAAGAATATTATATACTAATAGGCATTACATATGTATATGTGAGTAGGAATGTGTGTATATAAATATGTATGTGTACATTATATATACACACACACACACACACACGTATATTAAAAAATTCCTGTCATATTATTTCCCATATTATGGGATTTGTGGCTCCAGGGTTACCTTAAAACAGAATTGTTATTTTAGGAACCCTAGCCTGTTTATGTGGAGCTCTGGTGGCGCAGCGCCTAAGGCATTTTGACTGCTAACCAGAAGGCTGTCAGTTCAAACCCAACAGCCACTCCTTCGAAAGATGACTGGGCAATCTACTTCTGTAGAGATACTGCCTCAGAAACCCAAGAAGGGGTCACTCTGAGCAGAACTGACTTGAGGGCAGTGGGTTTGGCTTTTTTCTGGAAGCCTGTTTATAAAGCAGCTCTGGTGGTGCAGTGGTTAAGGCATCTGGCTGCTAACCAAAAGGTCAGTGGTTCAAACCCATCAGCCAGTCCTCAGAAGAAAGAGGAGGCAGTCTGCTTTCGTAAAAATGTACAGCCTTGGAAACCCAATGGGGGTCACTATGAGCCAGAATTGACTAAATGGCAGTGAGTTTGGTTTTGTTTTAAAGCCTGTTTATAAGGAGCTGTGGTGGTGCAGTGGTTAAGGCATTTAGCTGCTAGCCAAAAGGCAGGTGGTTGGAACCCACCAGCTGCTCTGCAGAAGATATGAGGCAGTCTGCTTCCATAAAGATTTACAGCCTTGGAAACTTTATGGGAGTTGCTGAGTCAGAATCCACTGGATGACAGTGAGTGAGCTTTTTTTTTTTTTTAAGCCCTTTTACAGGTGTCCTGGTCTTGCAGTGGTTAAGTGCTCAGCTGCTAACTGAAAGATCAGAGGTCTAAATCCACCATCCTCTCCAGGAGAGAAGTACGTGGCAGTCGGCTTCCGTAAAAATTTCAGCCTTAGAAACCCTATGGGGCAGCTCTACTCTGTACTATAGGGTTATTATGAGTCAGAATTGACTCGATGGCAGTGGGTTTGGTTTTGGTTTTGGAAGCTTCTTTATGAAACAGCAATTCTTAAGCCTGTATGTGTTTTTTAACTTAATGTTTTAGTTTTGCTTAAGGTTTAACTACCCTAGTCCTTTCAACAATGTCTTCAATTCAAGAAGAATGGTTTTGACTACAGCTTCCTATAAAACCCGGGAGCCTACAATGTAGGCTTATCAAATGGTACCAAAAAGAAGTAGTTCCTGCTTTTAAGTTAAGTTTAAAATTTAAAATTAGTTACCAAAGAGTTCTCTTTCAATCAGTAGTATGCTAGATCTAGCTAAATTTTCAAGATTTTTTTTTGCAAGCTAATTGTTATACACAGACATCATTAACAATTAAATTATATATATATTTATCATTTAATAAACTATTAAAACAAAAATAATAAACCAAACTCATTGTTTTCAAGTCAATTCCAACTCATGGCAAACTCATGTGTATCAGAGCAGAACTGCATTCCATAGGGTTTTCAATTACTATAATCTTACAGAAGCAGATTGCCAGGCCTTGATTGAGAGGTGTCACTGGGTGATTCAAACCACAACTTTTTGGTTAGCAGTCAAGCTTAAACCACTTGCACCACCAAGAAAACCTCAATAAAGAAACTATATACACAAAAATCATCATATCCTAATCAATTTACTACATTTTATTATTACCTCTGCTCTTGAGGTTATTTATATCTATTATATCTGCTCAGTGGAAATACCGTATAACAGTGTGGTACTAGGGATCTGGTCCCAATTCCACTTTCAATGACATCATGCTGGTAGCTTGAAATTGACCAAAACGGAAGTTTTACACCATGGAAACTGGCTCAGGTTTAAGCAGGTGACAGAAAAGGAAAAAAGGATACCAGTGCAATGTTCAGAGAAAGAAAAACATGAAAATTCTCTGATCTTAACCATTCATACTACAACTGAGGAAACAAGCTAAGTTACTTGCCTCTAGTTCTATTTTCATTACTTCAAGTTTGTTCTAGTTAGACCAAAGTTATACATGGCATGAAGAAGGCCTGGTGGCACAATGG